ATTTAGATGTTTAGTACAGAGATATGAGTCATTCCTGTGTCTCATTCTTAATGTAAACTGTACTATAACCACATAACACAACCATGAAATACCTTGTTCAACAGTTATTGTACAATAGAAGGATAAAGTAAGCAATTTGAGCCCATTAAGTACCACTTAGATTCCTATTAGAAATGCATCAATTACAAGGTTTTCATTTTGAAATCTCAACAAAATAAGCTCTTCTAATGTATGCTTTTTTGCATCCCATATATCTGGGTTTCTATAAACTGAATTTTTAATGTCTTTTTTTTTTTCTCCATCTTTTCAAAAGGTAATTTTCACAGACTTTAAAGTTGTGAATGTTTTAGCAGTGTGCAACATGCCCTTTGAGATAAGATTGCCAGAATTTACAAAGAATAACAGACCTCATGCAAGGTACGGCAAGCTTTTTAAGCATTTATAGTCTTGATATACTTAAGCTTTTCTTTTTAGTTCTAGATTTACCTTTGACCTTTTATTTTGTTTTCTAGTTATGAACCAGAACTTCATCCTGCGGTGTGTTACAGAATAAAAACTCTCAGAGCTACCTTACAGATTTTTTCAACAGGCAGTATCACAGTTACAGGTATTTTGATGTCAAAATAAATATTTGACTTGCTGGGAATATTTAACTTTGGGGCCAGTCAGCTTAGGAAAGGAAGGCTTTCAAAACAGTCAAAAGATATATTTGAGGTATATATTTGTTTCCCAGTGCTAGCATCTAATTTGTTTTTGAATAAGGTGCCTGAATAGTTGTAGGGGTGGTAGGCTTAAAAAAAAGTTATTTCTGTAAGAATAGTCATAGTCAATTTTTTATAAAAGCAAAGAGTGGAATAGGACTTTATACTTGAGAATGCAAGATACTTGTTATTTAGTTAAATATTGTAAATGCCTGAATTTTCTGCCTGTTTTTCTTCTGTGTAATGCTGTAAACTACACTGCATGTAGCATCAACAGCCCTGTCATAATGCGTACTTCTGAACTGGAGATAAATGGAAATGTATAATATGGCAGTAGCATTTTGTTGCAGCCAAAGTTGGCTGATATTTGCGGTTCTTCAGATGCATGCTGTCTTCTGTTAAGGCTCAATTGTGAGGGACCCGCCACCTGGATCGTAGGCATCAGTGATTTTTTTTTTTCCTGATTGTCCTGGGTCTTGGCCTAACTTATGGAGATACCATGCCATGTTTTCTCCTCCTTCCCTTAATTTTCATTTTCTGTTGTTTGCTAAATTTACTTATGAGGTGTCCAGCACAGTTTTCCAGACAGGAAAAGTCTGATGTTTTGGAAAATACCTGTTAAAATAGTACAGAAGAAACAGCTTGCTCAAGCCAAAGTTACATCAGGTTAACTGGAATTCTGTCTTATGGCTGTTAGAGCTCAGATACTAGTATCAGAAGTCATGTGTAGGAATTTTTATTTTCACATCTTAATTCCTTAACAAATAACTAGGCTTTACAGGGAATGTTTCTCACAGAGTTATCAGAAGAACTTTTTTTAAGAGGACAAACTCCTCAAAATTTGCAAATCTGAAACCATAGGGGTAAAAAGTGTTTGGAGATTGCAGTGTCTGTTCTGAACAGAACAACTGATCTAGCCAAAAAGAGAAACTAAATTTAAAATAAATGAGAAGCCTAAGGATTCCTGCAGTAGCTTGAGACTCTCAGCATATCCTATCAACCTCCTAATGAGATTTAACTGTTCAGTCGGATTCTTATTTCTTCACCTATGGGAAAAGTCACTTTCACATTTCCAAAATCACCCTTTCCAATATTAAGGCAAATATGGCAAACACCAAAGATTTACTTCCTTCTGGTTCACTTGTTCCATTGAGTTTGAAATACCTGAGATCTCTTGCTTTTGAAGTTTCTGTTTTGCTTAGGCCTTTCTTCTAAGAAAATAAATATCCAGCCTCAAGCTTCTCCTTTAAAATATGCTTTTAATAATGTACTCAACCTGACTATACTCCCAAGTGTGAAATGTTCTCAAATGTGTTCATATGAAGTTCCTTTTTACTTCCTGTATTTTGAAGCTTCAGATGCTTCATCCTCAGACAATAACCTTTCCCTGGATTACAGGTTTTGCCCTGAGATTTGTGGCAAAGCCGTTTCCAAAATTCAGATTGCAAAGTGGTAGGCTATAATTTTCAAACATATAATTTTGCTTGAAACAAACTTAGATTATTGCTAAATGATTATGGATTTAATTTCCTTTGTTAGCTGTATAAAAGAAGAGGTAGAAGTGGCTAGGCTTTGGATAATACAGATTCCTAAAGAAACAGCAGAAGTAAAATTATTTCCTTACCTCTTTCACTCAGCCTCTGCTTTCTTGTCTGTGCTGACTGTTTAAGGTAGTAAATCAAAAAATGCAAGTTGTTACAAAGTGAAATGACAGTATTTATTTATAGTTCAGCCGTTGACACATTTAGAACATAAAACAGGTTCTGTGGGTCTTTTTCATGTAGATAAGAAAAGTAATAGCGGAAAACTTTCTTGAATTGGGAGAAATGTGGGAGAAATTATTTTTATCTGCAGTATAAAGTTGTGGTAGCCAAAAATAATAAATTCATTTTAAAGATGATGTTATCATTTTACTTACTGATGCCCTGATTTTCTCTTCCTACTGTTTTTTTTTTTTTTCCTTAATATGTCTCAGGGCCAAACGTAAAAGCTGTTGCCAGTGCTGTGGAACAGATTTACCCATTCGTGTTTGAAAGCAGGAAATAAATTTTCTAATTCACCACTTAATGGTTAGGTTCCCTAACCAAGCACCTTTAAAGACTGCTGCACATTGGACTAAAAGCAAAAAGGAAAACTGGACCAACTATAGCAGAGGAATACAGACTCTTTTACTTGTTCATGGCCACAGTATAAACTCCAGTCCTTTTGGATTTTATTTTTAACAGTGCTGTATTGTAAAAACGGAAGTTTACAAGATATGAAATTGCTGCTTTTAAAAAGACATTCTATTTATTTTTGCAGTAATTTCTGTATATTCATAAGCAAAGCTGTCACGATGTGCACTACCTTTAAAACTTTTTTTTTTTAGTTGAGCTTGTGTTTTATTTGTGAATGGTCTTTTACATTTTTGTATGTTGAATATTGGGCACCAAAGAAGCTGTAAAAGTTATCTTTTTCACCTGATGAATGTGCACAAATAAAAGTTTGGAAAAATCTCTCTTCATACCTGTTCTGTTATATTCCTTTCCCTTTTTCTATTACAGTTAAAATTGTATAGTTGCAAATTAATTTGAAACAATGTAAGAATAGTCTTTTTGCTGATACCTTCTGTTTCTATTTGTAGTATGTGTAAAATTTTGTGTGTGGGTTAGATTGAATTCTATAGTAGTTACGTATGTTTATCTGAGGATGAAATTTGGTTTGTTCCCAATTCTCTTAACTACATGCCAGGTTTCAAGCATTTTCTTGCTGTTATATGAAGAGAAGGCATTTCTAAGTATAAAGGTCTACAAGTGTTTTCCTATAGATGATGGGAAAATCTTATCAACTGAAGAAGTTACCGTAGAAAAATCAACTGCCCTGCCCACCTACTGGATGCAGAAGGAAAAAGAAAAGTTTTGTGAGCTACAGTGTTCAGGAAAATGTTGTTATACTTCAACTCTGAGAAGATGGCATGGTCATGCTAATCCAACCCCAGCCTATTGCTGAAGAATTAACACAGTTCTTTTCTACACTATTATTGCTGTTTATTATCTTGACAGGAACTGCCAACGAGCAATGAAGCTTAATTCTGGCATGTATTGGTATTAATCTTGGACTTGGAAGCCAGTAGATGTTTCTCTCAAAACGTGCACATTTGAAGCGGAAGAGGTGAATGCTTAAAAGTAACTGCAAATGCTACTTTTAAAAAGATACAATAAATATGTATAAATGCATATATGTCTTTTTTCCCTATCTGACTGAAGAGAAATGAACAATATTCTCATTGCTGCAGGTAATATACTGTCTTACGAGGTCATGAAAATAGTGACACATAAGCTGTTATAATACAGGAAGTCAATAATGGTGGAATATCCTGAAGAAGTGAAAGACCAGCATAATGTATCTGTCAGAGGGGATGGTATAGAAGCTGGGGCCATCTGCTGTGACTTCACATGCAGGAATTGAAAGGAAGGAATAATGTAGGGAATGTTTGATCAAACCTTGCAGAACCAAATGACAGAAGCAACAGAAAGCAACAACTTGCCAAGAGCTGTAAATGATGAACTCATAAAAGTCCTCCTTAGATCAACAAAGGTAGGAAAAGAGAGGATTTATAACAGTGAAATACTAGGTTGAGTTCCACAGTCATGGAACTCATGATAGAACTGGTAAAGGAATACTTGATATAAACGAATGTTTCAATTTGTATAGAAGATACTGTGGTACTGTGGCACTCTTGACACTATAGAGTTATATGAAAAGTTATAGGGAGCAATGGACAAACCAGCATTAGGGTACGCTAATGTACTACTGTTACAGTTTTAAAAAAAAAGTAATGAGTTTTCCCAAGAACAAAGTACAGACCTAGACTGATGAATGGCCATTTTAACTACAGCAGGTGTCTTAGATTAGGCTTGCAATTTGTTCAAAAAGAGAAAAAAAAAAAAAAGAAAAAAAAAGCAAAATACTACTGAGGTACCAGTGAAATTGTGGAGCTTTTATGAAGCATATATGTCCCCTAGATTTATCCAGGGAGAGAGAGAGAGAAGGGTTTTTTTGTTAGCACTGTCACTTAGTATGAAATCAGCCTGATAGACCAAAAATGGAAGGTAATAACAAGTTGCAATGTATTGTAGTGAGAATCATTTCTGTTGAAGTGCTGCTTAGATCCATGCTATCTTTAGTTCTGGTTGAGGCCTTTTGTAACAGTCTGTAAAGGAGCCAAAAAGCACGGAACTAAACTTGCATACAAGGTAGTATTGAGGAAGAGAATAATGGAAAATAAAGTTAAAAGTTTCCTTAAAATGTGTGCTTTCCTATGCCTCTAGCTCCACCAGAGCCTCAAACTGCTGGTGATAAATATTCTTTAAAACCTCTGATGAAGGATCTATGCCCTTCTGCACTAGGTCCCAGTACTTGATTGCCAGTCAGCAGAAGTGTGTGGTTTTTTTTTTTGATGTTTAGCCTATAAGGAAAAAAGATTTCCCTGTGAGCATAACTAGGCAGTGGAACAGGTTGTCCGGAGTAGCACTTGAATTTCTGTCCTTGGAGGTTCTTCAAGAGCTGACTGAATGAAACCCTGAGCAAACTAGTCTGAATTTAGAGTAAACTCCTGTTTCGAGCAGGAGGTTGGACTACAGACCTACTGAGGTTACTTCTGATGTGCGTGATTCTATGATTTTTTTTTTTTGTAAGTGTCACAGTGCTAGTAAATCATGCAAATAAAGGCTCAGTAGAGCTGTGGCTGAATATAGGGAAGCGTCTCCCTCCTCTGTAGTCCCCCTTCCCCCTTCTTTTCAGTGATCTAAGCTGGAAGATACTGCAGCAAGAGAATATCTGGTAATTTTAGGATCATTTGGCAGTGTGCGCTCAGTGAAACCGATATGTTTCTTATCGCTGCTCTAGACCAGTAGGTGCCAACTTGTATCTGGAATAAACCTTGGTGCTGCTGCTTGTTCCTTTCCCTGCTGCCTGTCTTCGTAAGCTAGATATTTTGTTCCGTTCCCTTGCATGGGGCTCTGCTGCCCCCCTTACCAGGACTCTTTGCGCTAGGTTGCTATCTGCAGTGGTCGTGTGGCCCCCAAGCCAGTCAGCATGCCCCAGCTTACTAGCTCACGCTGTACCCTGCCTTTCACCTCCAGAGTGAGGGCCAGTGCCCTAGATTAAACACACCTATCACTCAGCCTTTCTTCTCACTGGCCACATTTTCTACAGTTAAGTTCATTTGTTTCTAGATTCTCTAGTTGGATCACATGCAAAACTTTACACAGTGCTTAGCTGTGGCACTAGCAGTGCAATGAAAGGTTTATTCCACCTCCTTTAGAGGGAACGGTTCTATTTATATATCCCACTAAGGGTTCCTTTCTATAGTAGAACGATAACTGTGACTCATATCTAGCTTGCAAGGTGTCATAACCACTAGATCTTTTCCTGCATAACTGTTTCTAGCTCTACTTTGTCATTCTTTGACTTGTAATTAGGCAGCATAACCAAATAAATTTGCACGTACCCTTTCAGAATTGTATCCTGCTTTTTTCAGGCCCTTCTCACCAATGTGTTAAGCTCTGAATTTTAATCTAGTTTCTCCCGATTTTAATTGCCTGCAAGTTTAATAAGTATGTTCTGTTCTGTAATCCAGTCTACTAATGAAGATATTGAATAATGTGAGATCTGGGACAAATCTTTGTGGAATGCTTTGGAGACCTAGGATGTGATTTTAAAGACACGTGTCCCCTTTTTTCCCCTCTGTATTTTTATAGTCAATGAGTTTGTTAGTCCCAGCTCTGTGTCATCAGATGCGTAGGCTTTGCTGTAAGAGGCCAATAGAATTAGGACTAAGTCTGAACTATAATGAGTAAAAAAAAAAGCATCATCACCTTTTGGAGGCAACTGAACCTATTAAGGCCTCTGTAGTTAAAACAGTGTTGGAACTAGGCCTTCTTCAGAAAGATGGTATTTTTACTTGTTTCTGCACAAAATATTTGATCATGGGGGAAGTTTATAAGAGATCCCTATAGAATCCAAAGTCCGTAAGGTTGGGAGATAATTTCTGTGATATTTTTCTTAGTCAAATTTATTTTTGTGAGAACACGTACAGGATTTATTAACTGTTCAACAACAGAGATTTGTTTTGGAAGTTGTGATAATCATCTTCCAGTATAAATATGAAATGGATGTAGAGGCTTCTGTAGACAGCAACGCTAAAAAACTGAGGAAAGTACTAACATGCACAAACTCAGAAAAATGGTTTACAAGTTGTCTAGAAATGATAGTGGAATACGTTCATTTTGAAAAAAAAAATCCCTATTGATCCAAAAAAAGTTTACAATATTTGCCGGCCTTATCTGCAGCCCTTTGCTGGTGATTGAGAAGAAGAAAATGAATTGGATCCTTTGCTTTTCTTAAACAAATGTTTAGCAGGCTTGACACACACCAAGCAAAACATGGCACTGACAGTGTGTCCCATATTTTATTATTCTTTCGGTTTCAATAAAAGAATGTGTTGTTTTCTCTAGCAATAAGGCATTGATATTATGCAAAACTACTCTTCACTTGGGCTTAATATAGTTTTTTTTTAAAAAAAAAAAGAAAAAAAAAATTCAGGCTGCATGCCACAGAGTGAACTGATCCCAAGAGTGCAAAAATCAGAATTCTGAACTGAGCATTACAAAACTAAAAAAAAAAAAATTAACCGCAAATCTTGTAGGTTTTGGCCCACCTTTTGTTTTCTGAATTGCTGACACCTCCAAGATATATGTGAAATTTTCAATTGAAAAATTCAGCCTTATTTGTATAAAATTCAGGCTGCATGCCACAGAGTGAACTGATCCCAAGAGTGCAAAAATCAGAATTCTGAACTGAGCATTACAAAACTAAAAAAAAAAAAATTAACCGCAAATCTTGTAGGTTTTGGCCCACCTTTTGTTTTCTGAATTGCTGACACCTCCAAGATATATGTGAAATTTTCAATTGAAAAATTCAGCCTTATTTGTATAAAGGATCTACACTGAAAAACAGCTCCCCTTTTCCCTCCACTGCCAGAGTCAACTTGTGACCTCACCTCCTCTTACATTTCTAAAAGGGCACCCATTTTTCCATGTGCCTTCCTTACCCGCTGCTTCTCTCCTCCTGCTCCAAACCCTCTTCTCCAGCTTTCCCCCTTCCCTGCTGCCATGAGTTTTCCATGGCTGAGCACTAGTGCTTTTTGCATCCTTTTTCTGGTGGTTTTTAGAAGTTACAGGAATACTCCTTGACAAGTCCTGATGCTGCAGCATTGAGTAAACTGCTTCTAGTGAGGTCAGGGAAATGCTAGGAGGAATGCTATGGGGGAGGGAGGGTGGTCTGTCCCACACGTGGACAAAGAAATCTTTTCTTCTAGCCTCTTGTGGTTGATATCAGAACTGTAGAGCTGAAACAAAATTCTAAGCATGACTTCAATTTTCATCGAAAATGTCAAATTAATGAAGACTAAACACATGGAAGGTTTTGAGGGGGAAAAAAAATCTTTCAAAAGGGGAAAGCATCTCAGAGCCAGGGTGGGATTTTAATTTGGAATGACAATTCAGCTGATTCCCTGCAGCTTGATTAATCCTCCAGGGAATGAGAACAAAAGACTCCTGTGCTTACTACTTCTGATGAGGTCTTAAATCTGAGTTGCCTACAGCTCAGGTGCACAGCTCTGCCATCTGTGTGTCCCGGGTGTGCTTGGTCTCTCATTGCTTATTTTGCAATATGTTGAAAGGCCTCACAAGTACCCTTATCAGAAGAGAAATATATAGATTTTACTTAATCCTTGCTTTTTTGTGGATGCCAAAAAGGTTATCCTGCTGAGCCTTATGTTTACCATCATAAGCATTCTTGAAACTGGCCCAGGGTTGTGGCACTCATGAGGTTATTTTGCGGACTGATGGCACTAGGATCCAGAGAGAAGAAATAAGGCAGCTATAAACTCACCACCTAGACAGCTGCCTAGCAATTTGGTGCAAGACGCAAACCCCATGTCATCTAAAACAAGAAAAGCTCTGGAAGAGATTTTTTCTAGAATTTCCCTTATCTTAGATGACACAGGATCTGCACAGAAAAGTCCTGCATTGTGATGACCACTCATCTGACCTTTATAAGGAAGTCCAACAGGTTTTAGATACTGGTTGCCTAAAAGCTCAGGAAAAAGTATAGGAAAGCTGATACAGACGTGATCAGCAGGATCTCATTCTGAGGTAGCTAAATTTGCAGTGACTTCTGGGAAATCATGTCTTTAGCCTCACTAGGTTCGTTTCTGATTTTGAATATAAGCTCATCTTATGAATAATGTTCTCTTTTAAAAAATTTTACAATGTCAGTATCTAGAAGCGTGGCAATTTGAGAATCTGATTAGGATTGATCTGATCTGGAGAAAACTTGGCCGACATGAGTAAGTTCCTGTTCCTTTAGGGCAGGACACAGTCAGCTGGTTTTAATGCTATGAGACAGCAAATAAAGTGGAATCATATGTCTAGTTCAAAGTAGTATCTGCACTCCAGCTGACAGTGTCAATCTTGCTTCCTTGATTAAATGCTGGAAGAAATGCCTCTGTGTGGCTACTGAGACAGTCAGCAAGTTTTTAAATGTTTGTAGCTTCTTTGGTCATTTATTTATCTTCTAGAAAATACTTATCTATTGATCACTCTACTATCAAAATGTGTTCATCTTTTAGAAAACAATAGATGAAGTTCTTTTTAGGGAAAAGTGTAGATAATCCATTGCAGACGCTTGTTAAGTGTTCGGGATGCATTTGTTAGGCAATAACCAAGTATTAGAGTCACTTAGCTTATGACCTGCAGTGATTACTGCAGAAATCCTTTTGTGCTGTCCTGTACCACACAATTCTTACTTTCTGAATCCAAAAGTCGAAGTCTAGTGTGGCCTATGTTGAGAAATAAAATGATTTTGGAGTCAACTCTGGTTGCTCCAGCTTCCAGCTTTACTGAACTGGGAAGCCAAATAAATCTTATCTCCTCTTCTGTAGGGCTACCCTCAGTCTAAAATAGGTGATAATGTGAATGTCCCCACATTAAAATATTAGACTGTTTGGTATCTTAGGAGTATATCCAAGGTTATTGAAAGCTGGCCCTTGCTATCTAAACCTCATGTAAAATTTCCTTTTATAAACTGAACAAACTATTCTAGTTCTGATGGATAACACTCTTTTTCAAGTCTTGTTAAGCTCAAGCCTAAATTAATTCATAAGCAGTTCCTACCCAGTTGTTCTATACTAACATCAACCTGTATCTTCCATAGTTGTCTATTTTTTCTCCACGCTGTTGATTTCCCTAATGTCTTAACAGAGAGCTGTTAACCCCTTTCAGCTCCTTTTTTGCTAGACTAAACAGATCTCTCTTTTCCAGCGAATGCTAAGAGACAGGCTTTTCATTCTCCTTGGCCTCCCAGTAGTTCTTTGCACCTGTTCCAGTAAGAACTCTTATCTTGAATATGGAAAACTGGAATTGTGCACAGAATTCCAGTTTCCATTCACCTCCTGTTTTTCAGAGGTGAGCAAATTCAGTGGAGGTGAGAGATTCTGGCTTAAAATAGCCTGAGCCTAGGGTTCTAATAAGTTATAAACTGCAGCAATGTTTAATGTTGTCTGTAAACTGCCCCTGGAAGAAGCTCTACTAAAGAATGTGTATAATAAAGGTAGTGAGTGCCCCATTATAGTGTGAGCATCACTGAACATATTTTGCATCAGTCTGTTGGTGAAGGCTGCCTTGGCCGCCCTTGGCTCTGGTAGAGCTGTTCCTTCTCCCTCAGGGGAGGTTCCACTGGCACCAGTTTCTCTCTGCGCTGACTCACCCAGCACAAGGGGGTCTTCACATATTTCCTGAAGGAGAAGAAAACGTTTACCATTTAACACGCTGGGCAGAGTGTTCTCCCCGCTAGATGCAGACCTGGCAGTGCAGTTGCACAGTTCGGTGAGGTGAAGACCCAATGCGTTCCCACGGTGACCTGAGGTGCCCGCCAGCCCCTGCCTGCAGCCTTCCCTCTTTCCCCGCGAGATGGCAGATTTGCCCACAGCTTTCCCTGCCCCCAGCACCGTCCCAGCTTCAGGTTCTTCAGTTCACTGCAACCGTGCTTTGGCTTTGTGTATTATTTATTTATTTATTTATTTATTTGCAAGGTGAGGGAGAAGAGGAAGAGCCAGCCTTAGGCTTCATCAGAAATGCGTGTTTCTCAGCCTTTTAAGCAGTAATCACCCCGTTGTTCTCCCAGGGAGATCAGAGACCTCCAGGGCAGAAAGTGCAGCAATTCTCTGTTCCTGCAGCAGAATTAACTCCAGGCTTTCTGCAGTGGAAAAAAATTGCTCTTTCCTACCCCATAAACTCCTTCAAGCCTGGCTGAGTTGCAGCATACCCTTTAGAAAAATCTCTGATAATCTAAAAAATCCAAATACAGGATGACCCATCATGATAGACTGTTACCAGGCTAATTAGCCTCATGTCAAAAAGTATGTGTCTTATTTTCAGTCTGAGTATTTCTCCCTGTATCTTCAAGCCTGCTTCTCCAGGTGCAGTTTGTCTTGTTGCCAGGTAGGGACAGCGTGAAAGAGGCTGCACTGCCTGCTCAGGTTAGGGTTTGCTGATTAATCAGGGGACGCTGCTTTGGCAGTAGCTGGCAGCAGCATGCCCACCCACTGCAGTGCAGCCCTGCTGTCACCCCCCAAGCCCCAGGAAAATTTGGTCACCAGATTATTTTCCCTGTGATTTCTTCATCTTGTAAATTACTCATTATGCTGAACACTTCTGAGTCCAATTCAAGAAACCAAACAGCTAGTGCAGAGTGGCTCTTTGAACACATCAGAAGAGTCCCGTGCTTTACATACCAGGCCTGCTTAGTCTTTTCGGTATTTTTATGGCCAGAAACAGCTGAAAACGAAGAGGGAAGTAGCACATTGTTAATAAAAGTTGCCAGTTAATTTATGGCAATGACACCTGCATTTGGAGATTGTGAGTACATTGCATACGTACTATATACCAGAGGACTGCTTAATTTTATTCTCCAAACTGATGTGCTACTTTTATTGAAGCTACGTAATTCCAAGGACTGCTCTGCTTCTGCGGGGTGGGAAAGGACAGGTGGAATCAAGTCACACAAAAACAGTCAGAACGGGCCATATTAAAGGAACAGGGACTGGGGCCATTTCAACCAACATATATGTCTGTCTCCCTCACTGCTGTTACACCCTATTTATTTGATGCAATGGGGACACAAAACATACGCTAGAAGAACCTTTTTGGGGTATGATCTCTTACAGAGCCACAAGGCTCAGGAAACGGACAAAAAATCCCCATCTAAACGAACTATCAAAATATACACAAAGGCCTGAAGTATTTGAGATAGATCCTCTCTCTTGCCCTCTTCTTGCGAGCTGGCCAATGCAGACAGGGCCCTAGATGTGACAGCCCAGGTCACTTGCATGCTCTGCCTCCTCTCTGGGATCACAAATTAGCCGAGTACATGGGCAATCAGGCCTGACCACTGATATTCATCACAGTGAACCTGATAAAAGAAAACCATCGTCTCTTTTGGATCCCATCCTTACCAGCTTAATATTTGCTTGGCCACCAAGCTCAGCACTTGCAGGCTGAAGCCTCAGGGGAGTCTGTTTTTTTTTTTTTTTTTTTGCATGTGGCATTAAAAGGCTTTGTGTCTCTGGCACTAATGGCATGCAACCACATTCAGTACTTACTGTTTAGCTAGTTCCATGGATATTTGCTCCAAAGAGCATCCTTTTGTCTCTGGTATAAACACAATAACAAAAGCCAGGGATGCTAGGCTCATTATTGTGTAAATGAAACACACCCAGGACAAGCCAATAAGGTCTACAAAAGAGGAAAGCATATTTATTATTTTCAAATATTGCAAGAATTTTTATGTATAAAATACACAGCTCTATTTTATAGGTGCAGTCTCCAATGCATAGGAGGAATCAGAGGGAAGTTAGGCTGTTATTCTTGGCCCTCTTATCTGTGCCTAGCTATAATTTGAAAAAGAAGAGTGCTTTTGCTTTTTCTAGTAGTCCTTATGAAAGAAAACTGAGGAGCCCATATTGGTCCATTTAGCAGAAGCCTATTGATTTATTACGTTTGCTGTCACTGTGGATGAAAACAATGAGTAACCATTGTTACTGGTTTATGTGAAGGCAAAGAGGGCCAAAAGATCCTAAAAATTCCACCTGTGTCTGGCTTTGTTGCAAATTCTTTCATGGAGAGAAAAAAAAACCCACACTTTTCACACTGTTCTAGTTGTCTCCAGTTAATCCTTTCAGCCTGTCAGTTCCCCGCATTTCCACTGCAAGCCATGGATCCTGTGCCAGAAAGGGATCAAAGAGTTAACTCTTAATGGGTCCAGCCAAGAATTATTTTTCTTCTGATACTGCAGTGCAGGGACAGATGATGTCCCCAGGCTGAAAGGAAACATGCTGCAGCCACAGCATGTGCCTGAAGATGGGATCTGCAAAGAACTGACCCGCTACTGCAATCCTATAGCCTTCTCCCCTGCTAAATCTGAGCCAGACATGGGGCTGTGTCATCTCATTGTGTCATGAGCTAAAAATTGCAGCTGAAGCTGCTATTCCAGCCAGTATCTTCTACATCAGATACCTAAGTACAGGTCCTGCTGGCTTCAGTGAGATTAGCGTATATTTATTTGAAGACAGATTTTCAAATTAAGCCTTTCTGCTGAAGACTAGAAACTCATATTTGCTTGTAGTTAAACTTGCATAAATCCAGATTAGATCTAGCTAAGCCAACAGATTTACTGTGGATTTGCATTCATTATAACCAAGAGCAAAATAACGGCTATGTATGCATTAAAAAGCAATGCTGCGCAATAGGAGAGGATCTACAAGCTGAAACAGTTGTTGCTAAGAACCTGATGTCCACACTATCTGCTTTTGGAGACCTTTCCTTAGGACTAGTTCTAGTCTGGTCCAAGGACCTGAGCAAGTGTTGGCAGCTGGGGAGCATTCACTGTGCACCTGAAGTGCATCTTCTGGATTGGTTCTGTCCAAAAGTTTATGCAGTTCAGGACTGCTCTGTGATGTAAACCCAAGTGCAGTGAGTGAGGACAACTGGAAGACTTGTTTCTGAAGAGGACCCTTGATCTAACTCAATTGCTAGAACTTGACCTGATATCTTTTTCTTACTTTTAATCAAGAAAGAATTCAATGTTTTCTCTTTAAAAAAAAAAAGAAAGAGAAAAAAGAAAAAGAAAAAGAAAAAAGAAAGAAACAGAAAGAAACCGGTGTGAAACACATTTAGTCATAGGTCACCTTCATTTTAAATAACCCATCTCAGAACACATTTAGTGATGCAGAGTTAAGAGACACCTGGAATTTCTGTTCCCTCTTACATTTTGATTTACAGTACTTATTTTCTTCCAAATAAGACTGAAAATTAAAATTTGCAAAACTTCTTATGACATAAAATTAGAAAAAAACTATTTCCAATCAATGCATTGCAGTGTTGACATTTAGTTTTTTCTCTCGTTTGTCATTACATTATAATTAGTTATGTGGTAATCTACTTTGTCATATTAAAACGTGACAAGTTTTAACCTTACCAATACACCTTTTTTCTAAATGAAATTTTCTGAAAGTCAGGACCTTCCTGTACAATGGAATGATTTTAATGGGATGATATTTTTCTGAGGAAAAAAATGTTGATCAGAAAAGCTGCCGTCTGATCTAGAGCAGAACTTCATTGACTTCAGAGGGAGACTAAATCTTAAATATTACGTATTTATAACTCGTTAAAGAAATGGTATTTTTGAAAGGCAGGTTCACAGCCTGTGGAGCTGATCCACCACGTGTTCTGACAGAGCAGTGCTGTGACGATGTAGTTTCACCCCCAGCCACACACTCTCTTCTTTCTCCCTGGTGCAACATGAGCACTTACACAGTTGCGTGATGAGCTGAATAAACAATTTGTGCACAGAGTAGTTTTCAGCCAGAGCCGTTCCCTGATTTGGCTGAAGACACCAGGCCAATGCAAAAGGGGAGAAGAGACTCCCAGCCACTGGTGCAGGGAAGTGGAGTTGCTGCCCTAAGCAGCAAGGCACATATAAAGTGACTATGAGCCCACAGCCTCAGTCTCCTCCACTATGCTTCCTGTATGCCATTTATGGACATGTTGTTGTAGGGTCCATAGGTCAGCTGAAATTACTAGCATAAGAAGGATCTGAAGGAAACATTAAAGTTACACAAACAAACAGCACCTAAACAGACCTCCGAATTTGGCTCCTGGGGCATGGTGTCTGAAGTTCTAGCAATAATACTATTTGTATTGGAAAGATTTGTTATGCCCACTAGGAGAACATCAATTTGGAATGACACAGAGAAGGCTTACCAGTTACAGTCAAAAATGTCAAGGAGATGAGGAGATTAATACCCCAGTTCATGCTAGAGGTCAAAGCCATGGCCCGTCCTCTGATCCCACCAGGGAAAATTTCACTCAGTACCAGCCAAGACACTGAAATGGAAGAAAAGGAAAAAAAAGAAGTTATCTTTGAAAGTACAGCTTTCCTTGCCATAAATTCAGGTAGTCCATACACTCAGATGAAGCCATCTGAAAGAATAAGGTGGTTTTCAGGGATGTGAGGTACCTGTGGCCCCAAGCCCAGGAAGCTGGCCTGCACCCTGAAAGCAGAGTGTGCCGCAGCTGGTGGCAGGCTGGGATATCCCGGCTAGCTGCTCCGCTAGCGAAAGTGTGGGTGGCACCGCAGAGCAGAGCCTCACGCTGGGTTTTCCAGCGCACGTGTAACCATGGAAATATGAAAGGCCATGGGGAAGTGAGCTTTGACAGCACATCTGTGTATAAAAGGGACCACTGACTAAAGAACTCTCAAGTGACATAACGCTAATGGAATTGGGGCAGCAAACCAAAGTAATCTTCAGTTTCAGAGCAGCTCTGTGTGTTTATGCCACCTTATAAATCAGCCTGCCACACTGAAGCAGGTTTGCCATTCCAGCTCTCTGCTACATATAATTAGATTGCTGAAGTATAAATGAAGACAGAGGTCCTGATCTTTGGCTGCTTCATACCAAACCACAATACAAGTGATCCAAACACTGGTGGTTCTAGCCCACAAAGACAAATTCAGTCATGTAGACCTGGCTGGGTTACCACCTGGACAGCAAGAGCAAAAAAAAGGCTCCACATTCCTCGGCCATGTCAGTTCCTTGTTGTTAAAAAAAAAAAAAACAAAAAACTCCTTTTGTTCATAAGCAAGAGGCATTAGCACAAAGTTGCTCTAACTTATGGAGCGGTCATGGGTTAGCAAATGACCAACACGATAGCAGAGAGTTTACATGTGGATGAACTGTGTCTTCAGATCCTTGGGCACGGCCATACTAAAGTTGGTCCTGTGTGATGTTGTTTCTGCAAAATAACAAATGGGAGTTCTCTCAGGACACTTACATTGGACAGTCTTAAAGTTACATTTTAAAAGTAGAATACTGTAAGTCTGAGTGTGTATCACGCTATATTACCCTTGCAGACATTTCTAGGACTCCTGGTTAACAGTACTAATAACGATAGAAAAGAAAAAAAGCTGTGGAAGGAGAGTATAGACGACCGACTGAAAAGTGAAAAAGCAACTGAACCTTGCGTTAACAGAGAAGATGCAAGCAAAGTCTACTCTAGATCTCTTTGTACCACAGGTTCAAATTCAGCGATATTTTGGAGCTGACACAGACATTCCCTTAGAAAAAAAAAAAAGAAAAAGAAAAAATATAATGAGCCTTACTTCCACACTGGGAGTGACCTGGCAAAGTGGTGACTTTATTCCAGAAGAAGGAAAGAGAATCAAGACCATAATGCATAACAGCCTAATACTGTTGCACATATTCAAATGGCACACAGTCATAATACAACCAGCATATTTAACAATAACTGTAGAGAGACCTCTTTTTTGCTGACCTGGATTACAGCAAAGTTTAATATATGCACTGCTGACAAGACAAACTTTGTTCTAAATAAACTCTTTCAACATGTTCTGTGAGGTCTCTACATACAGGAAAAAAAGAAGGAAAAAAAAAAAGAAAAGATTAGTGGCTTCTAAAGCAGATATTTTTCACCATTAGGCCAGCTAGTCTTGCTCCTGAGTTAAACCAGGCCTTGGCAATGCATGGGAATCTCATTATTGTATTTTGTCCCTCTTCAAAATCAGGGCTGTTGAAACACGTATCGTTAGTCATAGCCGATATAACATGTCACAACAGGAAGCAATAGCCAAAACGTAAAGCAACGAAAGTAAGTGAGACGCAAAGAAACTCTTTTGAGCAGTCCCTAAACAGCCTGTGAAATTCATTACCATAGGATAACATTACAGCCAGAAGCTGAGCGGGACTGGAAAAATGATTATATGCTAAGACTGGCAAAGAGAATATTCATAGCCACACTAGATAGGATTAAAATAAAGTTTGAAAGAATTCAAACCCTCTTTCTGCAGGGCATAAACCAACCTCCAGAGGACAGGATTAGGAACACACTTTCTCTCTCGGCACTTTGTTCTATATTTGCTTATCTGAGATTTTTCTTGCATTCAAGCAATTGGCAGCGGCTGCTCACAGAGGCACTGAACTAGATGGATCACGTCCTGTTCACCGACACGGCAGCTCCAACGCACTGGGCAAGCCCTGAGCTGGATTAGTTTCAGCAGTATTAGGAGCACTGGCAGACTGTTTATGCCACATGTAAAATGAGTGATACCGCAGTAGCTCCAGTACCATGGGCTTTTCTGAGGACAGGTAGGCTCTTTCAGGCTAAATACAATTTGTTTGGAAGTAGAAGACATTTTGTTTTCCTGTTCAGAAACCAAAATACTTGAGCAGCTGCATTAGCCACACCAGTGCTTAACTAGTATTTCTACCAGTTATTTTAGTTCAGAAAGATGCCTTCAATGTACCAGATCTGTTCTTCAAGTTTGGTAATGGTAGCTGCTTCCTCTGGCATACGCCTGACCTCTACTTTGTTGGCAAGGAGTGGGGGAAAAAAACATTTTTTCCCCTGAGAGAAATAACAGTTGTAGAAATCTGACAGTTACTACAGAGCGTTTATCCCTTTCCCCAAGCTGAAGCAGTGATAATGATCAATTCTTTGCTTTTAGCACCTCTCTGGGATTGTTTTTACTATCTGTACCTTTGCCAAAAAGCAGCAGCTGCTGTAGGTATAGCGAGGATGTGGCTTTCTGTTGGGGAGCCAGTAACTGGGCTCTCGCTCCCATTCATAATAATGATTGCTGCTACCTTTTAAGTGTGCACACAGCACAGCAGAAATTTAACCTACGCACTCCTAATGTCCCCGCTGAGTAACCTGTGGGCTCTACCTTCACCAAGCTAAGCCACAACATTTCAAAGTGGGAAGCAGTCCTTCCTTGAAAATAAAGTCCAAATAAAATCTCCCCCTCATCTCTCTATCTGCTATGTAATCTAACCTTATTTCCAGATGATGCTATAGTAGCAATCATATTGCGCACACTCAATACTTTTTGGTATCTACTTTGTCAATCCTTGGCTGGTGTTTGTGGAATGGGTGAGAAGAGAGCTGATGCTTTCCATTTCAAACGTGGGAAAGAAATGAGGCTAAAAGCCTCTCATGAGTGTCTCAACTGGATTTGTTCATGCAGTGGCTGCAGGTAACTCTCACCTTTGCTGACCTGTAATGAGTAGTCTATTGACAATAGTTAAGAACGAATGTACAGTTGAATATTTTATTATGGCAAAATCTAGAGAAAAAAACACCTACTGCATATACAGATGTAGAATTTAATTTAAATTAAATATTGCACTGGATCGGAATGCTTAAGTGTTTCAGTAAGTAGCACAGTCAGTTTATGTGGTACTTACTTCCGCTGATGTACTGAAATTCCCTGCCCAAATAGGAAGAACAGACGGTTCGGATACACAGTCAACCACTTGACCAGGATGCTGACACTGACCTCTAAACAAAATCACAGGGGCTGTAAAGGCAGAAGACAGTTATAGTGGAAGACTTTAGCTACCCTCATTTAGACTGAATAAGTTTCATAATGGAGCACAGGGCAGAAACTATATTTTAGATGATCATTTCTTTTGAAATTTGCCTGATAATTCATGAGAAAAAAAAATCTTTATTTAATGCTGAGCAGAGCTAGTTCAAAATCTAACTGTCACAAAGATACTCTGTTATATTGGTTATAACATTGCTAATTCAATGTTCTTGCGCTAATGGAAGAGCCAAGATTCTACCATAGTAACATACAGCTTCAAAAGGAGAAGAACATTAAAACAAGGATGCTTGTTCTAAGGGTAATTGCTCTAGAGGGGGTATGGAGAGGTATGGAGAATGTTTAACTTATCCAGTTGGAGACTTAAAGTATATATACAACCAAATAAAATAAATAGAAATAGCTCAGCACAGTTAAACAATTAAGTGAAACAAACTTTTAGAAACAGAAAAATGCCTTCCAAAAAAGGTGTGCTGTGTCCAAACAAAGAAAATCCAGCATAAATCCTACAAAGTTACTTGTAAAACCATAACCAGGCAGCCAAATATTTTGAAAATGTATTGGCTAAGAGCATAACATGCCAGAAGCAGGAGCTTTTACCATCCTGTGTGTGTGGGCCAGTGCTTCAGTAATGCAGGCCACAGGAGAAAAATCTAGGTATGCTATTTACCTTGGTGTTCACTCGGAGTAAGTTTAAGAGGTTTCCAAAGCAGAGCCTGTGTTTATGGGAGACAGATCCTGAAGGACTATTTCTAACTGCAGTATAAGGAAACAAAGGATAAGGTCAGTTTTCATAATGGAAAGAGATTACTAGATTTGATCAGAATATTTCCAGTTGATTCAGAAAAGGGAGATGAATGGAGGCACCGCAAAACTTACTGATGGTACAAAATTATTCAAGGTAATAAAAATGAAAAAGGATCTGAGAGTTGCAAAAGGATCTCAAAGTATGGAGCGCTTTGATAAGATGACACATAAAATTCATTACCAACAAAAGCAAAGTACCACATGAAAACCAACGCCCAGCAGCCATGCCAGAACACCATCACAACTCAGGGCATCGATGAAGTCTTTGTGGGTGGTTTAGAGACTATCAGCTCATTTGAGGTAGAGGTCATGGAGCAAACAAATGCTTGGCAATTACTGAGAAAGGAGCGTGAAGGAAGACAGAAAAGCGTTCCTGCACCCCTGTGCATGGCGTCATGCACAGATGCCGTCCCCTCTCTGAACTGAATGAGCTATGGAAAAAGGTATGGAAGGGGTTCTCTGCACGGGGCAATTGAACAGACTAGGGATCTTCAGCGTAGAAGATGTACAGCCGGGGGAAACGGAGTTGAAGCCTGTAACACTGTGAAGGTGAATAGAGAAGGATTTTTCATTACTTTTTACAGGATATGAACAAAAAGAAGCCAGCTGACGTTACCAGACACAACCGTTAAGGAGAAATAGGAGGACGTGCTTTGTCAGGGAATGCATACTTTAA